TCACCAGACATGTGCCATCTTAGTGGTTACCACTATCCACGGACCATTGGATCATCGGACCATCGGACCATCGGACCATCGGATCATCGGACCCTCGGACCATCAGATCATTGGACGCATCGGACCATGTGCATCGGATCATCGGACCATCGAATCTTCGGATCATGCATCCCCACTCGATCATATATAAGTCAACTCCCCTACCCCCCCTCCCGCCCTCCCTGTCATCCCCCTCCACCTCCATTTGAAGCTGATATTAATATATATATTTTTTCTTTTCTTTCCTTCTTTGGTGACTCACTCCTTCCCACCGACAACCAGGTGTCTCCTCTCATCACCTGGCATGTGCCATCTTAGTGGTTCCACTATCATTGGATTAAATTATCGGATCTTCCCACCATCGGATCATCGGACCAGGCAGCCCCACGACTTATGGACTGACTCCCTCCCCCCCTCCCCCTCCCTGTCACCTCCCCCCTCCCCCTCTCCCTCCTCCACCCCCCGCTGGGCACCTAGAGAGAGCTGGGACGATAAGTGGTTGAGAAACTTTGGTCTTTTCCTCCACTCTTGAGTTGACGTTTGATTGGACTCCACCAACAACACTTTGCATATTATTTTAATTGTCTATTTTCCTCCCGCTGTCCTATACCTTTCGTGTTTCCCTCTTCTCAAGTGCGCAAACAGCCACCTCAGTACATGTGCCATCTTACCACCTCCTGTTGATCAATCTGTGTGATTTCTATGATTTGGCAGCAGCATAGGCACGCAAATGCTTCACCTTTTGTGGAAGTCTCTGGTCAGACGGATCACCAGGCCCACTGGCAGTATCTTTCCCAGCAAATGGCATCCCTGGAGCTTTGCGGAAAGAGATCAACAAGAAGCACATTGGCAGAGTGCATGTAATGGAGACCATGGGGCCCTCGCATTTCTTCAATGGCGAGTCCATATTAGAAATGTACGAGGAAGTGGTTGGCCATGCGTTCAGACTAAAAAGACAAGAACTTGGCCTTGCTGCCACAGCACCTGGTCTCCTGCTGTGTGACGGGTTTACCGGAGCCCATGCGGCCAATAACGGCCTTCAGCAGCGACGACTGCGATGGAGCGAGGCTGCTAATGTCCACTTGCCACCCCCCCAACCGGGGGGGTGGTCGGCAAAAGGACAACCTGCTGATCAACTGTTCGGGTTGTATAAGCAAAGAGTCAAACGCATCATGGATGTGAAAATGGGATATGGTGACGACTTCTTTAGCAGGGATAAGTTCGAGACCCTCCCCCTTGGCACCACAGGCCAGTGACTGTCTTTGTGGTTTTCAATCTTTTGTGTTTGGAAATTTCAAGTAGCTCAATGGAAAGTCGTGAGACAGTGATTTGTTTGGATGTGCCATGTTGCTATTCAGGGGTCTTCATGTATATATATACAGTAATGCTTTATATTGACATGAAGAGACATTTTTTGTCTTTTTGCAGAAAATAAATATATGTGCCATATGTGCCATCTAATGGTAACCAAAATGTTCAGGAGCTCCAAAGCGTGCGGTTCAACTCCAAGATGCACTGGAGACATCGATTCAAGAATGGCTAGCTTTACCAAGGCATTTATTTGCTCACGCATGGCTTGCAACTGGTTATTTTTCCCCAGAGGAGATGCAGGAAATGATGGGGCTGACCATTGAGCAGCTTGAGCAGGACAGGGTTGGAAACAAGTTATATATATAAATAGGGGCTCTCTGAAAGGCGGCGCACTGAAAACCAGTGCGGCACATGACATATGAGTCAAAATCAACCTCAATAACCTCAAATGCTGAAAAAACACACTTTTTTTCTTTGACGCTCTCCTCTCTCATCACCCTGGCATGTGCCATCTTAGTGGTTCCAGCTCTCCCACTCGTCCTTCCTCTTATATACCCTTCCCCTCTCTTGCTTCCCTCTTCCTTGTTCCTTTGTCACTTCTCTTATCCTCTACTGTCCCTCTTGTCCTGTTTCTTTGCCTTTTGAGCCTGCCATCTCTTCTTTCACCTGCTTTCTTCCTTCCTCCCTGACAGTCTCTGCCCTCATCACCCTGGCATGTACCATCTTTGTTTTGCACGCACCATGCTCAGGAGAAGGCAAATGACAAGGCGAGATGGGACGATCCCACTTCTTCAGCGCGCCTGGACTTCCCCAGTTTGGCTGAGATGGTGAGCATTATGAAGCCAGGTGATATCCAGTTCTTGTGGCAGATTCACTTGGACCAGGGTGAGCATCACTGGCGAACCCTGCCAAATGTTTTTTCCCGGGCTATGGATCGTGAATATGCCAAGTTTGCGACCCAGAAGCCTGAAGGACCAGCATTGAGAGGCATCGTGTCCTTTGCCATCCACATCAACTTCAACAAGGAGCTCAGTTTCAAGTGGATTCAGGCCAAAACCAAGTTGAACAACGATGGTTCCAGAAGTGCACTCAAACCATGCTTGACTGCACTTGTGGCCAACTTTAATCGACGCAGCTTAGAAGTACAACTTGATGGAGGCCCCTGGCAAAGTGTCCGGTGTGTCAAAGTCACCTATGAGCAAGAAGGTGAGGTTGTCCAAGCCTGTGATTTGGCACAGCTGTTGCAGCACAGGCTGCAGGAATACCAGAGCGACGGAGAAGACAGCCAAGCCGCGCGAGAGGATCAAGAGATGCAGGAGGCCGAGGCAGCGGAGGCGGCAGAACAAGAGGGCATCATGGTGCCCGTTGAGAACATGGCGGAAGCGGTTGGGGATGGGCGTTGCGAAGAAGAGGCGGGGTCTTAGTATCTGGGGGTGATGTCAAAACACATAGATGGCACATGAGGTAGAGTTGCTGAAAACTTTCATGAGCAGGGGGGGGCGCATAGATGGCACATGGTGTGGTTCTTTGGGTTCTTTGCGTATAATATATAATATATATATATCCTTTATTCTTTTTCCTTTTTTTGAGGACGCTCCCATGGAAGAGCCAAATCCAACGGATGAGCCAGATCCAATGGATGAGACAGATCCAGTGGACGTTGATGAGCCCGACACTGACCCTGGAGAGTGGGAAACGATCTTGGAAACTCCCTTTCCAGGGCATGAAGATGAAAAGGCTGCATCATCGAGCACTCCCTTGGCATGCCATGGAGCTTGGGCCACACCGGCCATTGACAGAATCGGGCTCGCTCCAGGTTGTCGCATACAGCGGCGCGAGCCCTCGAAGTCCTTCCAAGTATTCTTCTCAAAGCCTGCGGTTGGATTCATGTACTCGAAAACCTTCAGGTGGAGCAAAGATCGGAGTATGGAAGATGCTTTTGCAGACGCTCTCCAATGGTCATGGCAGCAGTGAATTTGTACAGCATGGATCTTTGACAGTACAGCTACAAAAACCGACGACGGGGTCAATAGGGAAAAATGCGTGTTTTTCCAGGGTTTGAGGTTTTCGAGGTTGGTGAGGTTGATTTTGACTCATATGCCATGTTCTGCACCAGGTTTGCATGTGCCATCTTACAGTGAATCACTATATTTGCATGTTCCGAACTTTCGGATGTTGGCTTCCCAGCTCATTGGTCAAGCTCTTTGATCTTTTTCCTCTATATATGCTCTATATGGGTTATCAATAAGCCAAGCAGGGAATTTGCTCTATACTTCGTCCCCCATTTTTGCTCTCTACGCCGAAGCCGTTGTAGACCCCCCGAGACGGCGAGGACTACGTCTGGAGGCTCACCGACAGTGGCGTCAAGGTGGAGAAGCATCCAGCGCCACACGCGTGAGGCCTCGTCGAGAGAAACGGTCGGGTTTGAGTCTTGGATGTGAGTGGAGGCCGGTGGCGTCAACATGTAAACATGACAACGTGCGAGCGTGCACTACAAAGCAGTGAGACAGTAGCAAGACAACACAAAGCGACCCAGAAGCCGATGTCCTCTCCTTGTCCTCTTCTCCAAGATAAATTCATAGTGCTTTGGCGGAGACAGTGATGGTTGATCTTCCCCTCTCGTAGCGAATCCCCTCCGCACGCCTTAGACGCAGCCCCTTCACCACACCGAAGCACGTCCCGAAGCACGTCCCGAAGCGGGAGACTGGTACAGCAACCCCAGACCCCTCCAAGTTCGATCCCTCGAACCCGATCCCTTCCAACCACTTCGGGGACCCCCCGCTTCCGAAGCGGTGCCAGGGTCGAAGCCGGATCTGGATATGGCGCAGTCCCTCTCGGGATCCGTGGTCGTACCTTCAGCTCAGGTACCGGTGATGTGTGGTCTCCACTGTTGGCGCCCAAAACGTCGGATGAATCCAGTCGTAGCAACAGTCGAGAGGTTCGGGCGCCTCCCCGTGCACCGAAGGTTTCGATCGTCCCTCCGTGCGTCTCAGGAATCGACTGCGACCCGTGAGCCGGACGCGGAGCACATCCGCAGCGGACATTTGTCAGCGGAGAGCTGCTTCCAAAGCGACTGCGAGAGACGAAGTACGATTGGTTGGTCTTCTCATGTAGGTATGTATTATAATCACTTCCTTGCAGGTATGTATACATAATATAATTATCATAGTAATCATAGTTATATACAAGATATGATTATATATACCTGGACAATCCAATGGGTGTCCTAGCTGGACTACCCTACTTACGGATCTCCAGACAGGACACCCAGGTCCTGGGTCCTGGTGTACTGGCAGATTTTCGGGGTCCTGAGATGCATGTCTGAGCTAGAAATGGCATCATAGAATCCATCTGCCAGGTGGGGCCATAGTCAAAAGAAACGGTTCTTCATGTCAAAGAGGATTGGAATTTGATCAACCAGGCATTCGCATGTTATATCCTTGATACATGACATATTCTTTGCCGAACTGGTTCCAAGTCTTTTGACCCCATTCGTTGGGTGTGGGTCAAAACCTGGAGCTTTAAATCAACAATGTGTGTGTGTGTGTGTGTGTTAATGCGTGTACACTGCATGGAAACAGACATGTGTTCATCTCCCCTACCATACCCACCCATAGGCCAAGGGGCGCGCGTAGCGCGGTTGTGCAAAAGCGGGTCTTCAAAACCCTCTTTGGTTGACCTCCCAGGAAGACCACACTGTATATTTCGGTGGGTCAGCCAAGGTCTGCCGGTGGAAAGACCCAGTCAGTCAGTCTTCGGGGCGTTCTTCGGGTTTCCCCCCTCGCAGTCCAACAGTCCAACGGTACGTGGCCAAAACAAGACGATTTCCTCCATCTAAGAGAGGCTTGTCCACTTCCAGGATCTTCCAGGTTCGTTCTTCGGGATGGGTGACAATACAGACAATCCAGAGATCAACCGAAGCTGCAGCCGCAATGTGTTCTCCATCTGTGGAGCAGTCGAAGGAAGCTATAGCCGGAAGCATGGGGACCAGGGCTTTGGAAGATCTGATCTTGGTGTTCAGAAGATGAGTTCTTCATGTTGGGATGACTCTCTGGGGTTCTAGAAGTACCCCTGAAATCAGAAATACAGCCCGCAGCCAAGTCCAGCTCTTGGATCGGTTCCTTTCATCCAGACTCCGTCCATCTCCGTCCCGTCTTCGACCAGTCCGGCTGGATCTTCCGTGCCGGTCGATGCTTTTCCATCTATAAAACCAGCCAAGTTCGACATTTGGCACAGTTGGAGGATCTAGGTATATAGTATATATGGCTGTGTAATTGGTTTTTTCCGCCCGACTGACACCGGATTCCCCCGGTAGACGATTGGAGTTCCAAGGGGGCCGAGAAAAACGCCTAGGCACCGTGCGGTCAGGGTCTAGGCCTGGCCGCATATGTTGCTTTGCATAGATTTGTGGAGTTTGGTGCAGAGTTAACCTGGGAGTCAAAGACTATCAAAAGAATGGTCTTTAGGTGACCCGAAAAGGAATATGCTTTACTTCAGTGGGGCAAAATACAGTCTTTGGACTTCTAGGGTTTAGCTTGGTCTTCCTGAAGCATCCATCTGACATGTTTTGTGATGCGCTTGGTTTTCATGCTTCTCGGACTCACTAAGATGGTTACGTGGATGCACTGGGAAGACCATGAAATCCCAATGGAATTTACTCCACGCACCCATGTTAGTGCCTTAGGGCTACAGTCCCGTCTCCTCAGGTGGTGACTGACCCCCAAGACCATCCACCCTAGCCACCCGACCCCCTGAGGGGGAGTCTAGCGGTGAGCCATCTTGGGAAGCTGGACAGTGGTCTGTGCACAAAAGGAACGTCTGAAATGTACTGAGGGTTGGTTCCAGCCCTCTGAATGCGTGATGGGTGTTCCCAAATCCACTTCGTGTCTGTTCTTTTTTTGGGGGGGGGGGGGGGGGCAGGTGGGGTTTGAAGTTACGAGAAACA